CTTGCATGTTTTTTGTGGCAGAGTGGATGGACTCAGCAAAAGATTGTGTCATAGCAAAAGGGTCTGAAATGTATCCAAGCCAGCTCCAGTGAATCACCTCCTAGAAACTCCAGTGGAGTGATGAATCATTTCTGAAGTTTGGGAAACTGAAAGCCTGAATTGATACATAAGCATTTACTGGTCTCATTATTGGTGTCTGAAGTTGAGTCTTTATTATTAGCACCAGGAGCGTGCTCTTTGAGAGAATCTCCAGATCATTTCCATTTATTACATTGTGGTTAATGCCTTTGTGTCTCAGGGCACAGAAACTGAGTTTTGTTTGGATGACACTAATGAGGAAGATCCATCTAATCTGGAAAGTGGAAACTCATCTAATGAGTTCTTTAATATAAACACATCTAATGAATTTGTCCTCAGAGGCATTCAGTTCAGGACACCAGCCTAGAGACAGTCTGGAAAAACCTCCTAAATATACATAACAGACACCAAATGCTCATCAGCATTTCATGGTACAACCCCATTCCTAATAGGCTGTGCTACGTGTTAACATACATACATATGCAGAGCATACTAGTAGGGGTTAGGATACTGCCCTGTTTTCAAAACATTCCCCCAGGCATTCCTCATGAAAAGAACTCCAGAGCACCTAAAAGGTAAACACAGATGCCACAGTAAGATTTTGCTCTGCTGGGATCCCCTTTGTTTACCGCATAACTTAGTTTTCTTTTTCAGAGGCTCCACTGATGTAATCACATCTGAAAGCTCAGCACCTTAGTGCTAATTCTTTCCAGTTCTGACCAATCCAGAAATAAATACTTTAGGAGTTTTTGAACTTCTCTTCTTTTGCTTAAGAAATGTTATAGGAAATATAAAATCATTTTAGCATCCCTTAAAGTTCCCATGCCCCTTTCGTTTCTGAAGAGATCCCTACATTTAGCTGCAGTCTTGCTAAGGTAAAATGTGGCTTGTGCAACTTCCTTGCTCTGTAGGACATTATTCTGCTCCTTTGATGGCAGCCTTCAGTGTTTTTAGCACTATGCTATGACTTCAAATCTGCTTGTTGCAGGGGCAGCCTCCCATCTGCTTTGCTATTGGCACGCAAAGTCAACTTACTACAGAAACAAGGGCTGGGGATGTTGAAAAAGGAAAGGAGAGCTGAATGTTTCACTGCAATCCCCTTTTCATTAGGTGTGAGCTCATTTGCTGTGCAAGCAGCAAAGCTGTCTCTGCTCTCCACGTGTTTGCCCAGATCTGCCAACTTGGTAAGAAGCTGGTAGTTATAGAGAAATCACCGTTTCAATAAAGCTGATCGGGCACTCTGTGCCTCTGAGGAAAATAATAACTTTTTTCTTCCTTTATTTTTTCCTGAGAATCAAAATGTTTCTGCTGTTTGGCCTTGCAGGAAAAATAAAAATAGATTTCCCAGAAATTCAATCCTTTCAAGGAAGAAATTCATTGAATCTGAACCCAGCATTTTCCAGTTTTGATAGAGATGTTTGGGACTTATGAGAGAGAATGAAGTACCCAGGATTTTAATCATAAGTTCCAATAACACTGACTGTCATCGCTGTGTTTGTTCTAATAATGTCAAGTCAAAATGCAAGCTTTTAGGAGCAGGCATCGCAGTGTTCATTGTGGCAGATATTTTATTACATATATATTGCAGGAAATAGATTTAAAATGATGCAGTAAATAACAGCAAATGAATTAATAGATAGCTTTCCCATATGGCATGACAAGGTTTGATTCATTCAAAAATCTGAGCTATTACTTTCATAATAAGTATATATGCAGAATATATGATACATTCTCTAATATCACATAAAGCATGTTATTTAATAATTACATATTTAATAATTACATATTTAATGCATATTTAATCCAATTCTTTTATGGATTACAAGTATTTATTACAAGACTAAGAACTCCAGAGGCTATGGCGCTTTAGTTAGGAATTGACAGCTTCATCTCGATTTAGACTGATGGCTTTTTGTGCTTTTGGAATTGATATCTCTTCAAAGAAAGAAAGAGCCTTAAATGGTTTTGGGTTGGGTTTTTTTTGTTCTCTCAGCTTGGAGCTGTTTTGAAACAAACTCAATTTTGAGCAGAGTGTGCTAAATTTTAAGACGTTAATAGAAACACTGCACAGTGATGGTGTAAAGCAGGTACCCACCGTGCACGGGACTGTGGTTTTGTTTCTGTCTGATCCCTTGAACATCAAAAGTTTCAGATTGTTGTGGAAGTTGCTTTGTAAAAGAGAGCTGGACGACTCAATTAAAATTGCAAAGGATAATGGCAACATATGATTACATCTCAGGAGCTGAACTTGAGCCTTTTTTCTTTCTCACTCTCATTTTGATCTACATGTATCATTATCATCTGTACAGAGCTACATTTTCTTACAGAAATGCCTGATTTTTGATGCCTCTATTTCTTTTTATTTCTTTATTCAAGGCACTTTACATTTCAGAGAGTGAATCAGGCACTTGAAACACCCAGACTGGCTGCTCATATGTTTTCAGAGCCTTATTTTCTGTCTCTGGATACAAAATAAGTTGCCATATTGGGTTTATTGGCAAGAAGGAAAAATTCATGAAGCTTTAACCTCACTTTTCTATTCTCTTTACAAGAATTTAGCATTGCTCTGATTTTGTGAAGAGCTTCAAAGATGTGGAAAATTCCAAAGAACTGCAAGTCTGTGCCACAATTAAGAAACATGGATTTCTGCCTTGCAGAAATTTATGCTGTGGACTCTTTTCCATCATGTGTCTGATGCAAAGACTTATGCCTGTCTTGTGACCTACTGTTGGAGGACAAAAGGAAGAATGATGCCTTTAGAGCTGGAAGCAGTGAACGCTTCCTTTCTTACCTGCTCTGTGTGACTTTTTCAAAGGGCTTTGGATACAGATTGAAACTGGGCTAACTTGGATTACTGTTACTGCAGCGTCTGCCTAGAGAGCAGGCAGCACAGTTTCAGTTTTTCAAAAACTAAGTGCTTCAGCACAGCACTTTCCCCTCAAATTATCCCTGGTAAAACAAAGTTGTAAATTTATCCTTCTGCCAAGCTTACAAAGCTCATAGAGCTGCCGAAAACTATTGTGCTCTCATTCACTGAAAGGAAAATCACGAGCAAATATCCTGTGTTCATGACCTTCAAGTACTTGCAGATGAAAAAATCATAGAATCATAGAATAGTTAGGGTTGGAAAGGACCTTAAGATCATTCAGTTCCAATCCCCCTGCCATGGGCAGGGACACCTCACACTAAACCATGGCACCCAAGGCTCTGTCCAACCTGGCCTTGAACACTGCCAGCGATGGAGCATTCACAGCCTCCCTGGGCAACCCATTCCAGTGCCTCACCACCCTCACAGGAAAGAATTTCTGCCTTATATCCAATTTAAACTTCCCCTGTTTAAGTTTTAACCCGTTACCCCTTGTCCTGTCACTACAGTCCCTAATGAAGAGTCCCTCCCCACCATCCCTATAGGCCCCCTTCAGATACTGGAAGGCTGCTATGAGGTCTCCACGCAGCCTTCTCTTCTCCAGGCTGAACAGCCCCAACTTTCTCAGCCTGTCTTCATACGGGAGGTGCTCCAGCCCCTGATCATCCTCGTGGCCTCCTCTGGACTTGTTCCAACAGTTCCATGTCCTTTTTATGTTGAGGACACCAGAACTGTACACGATACTCCAAGTGAGGTCTCAAAACTCCAAATGAGGTCTCCAGGTGAGGTGGCGATTACACATTTTAATGCTGTTCACACCCGTAGCTAAGATTTGAGGTATTTGTCTTTAATACCACTTTATCAATGACATTAATTGAAGCTGGTATAGAAAGTCTCCTCAGAAACACATAATGATCAAGATTTTTGTAGGAATAGAAACATTCTCCATGAGAAGTAGAGTAATACATGTCTTTTCTACCTATAAGTGGTTGTATTTGGTCTGTAATATTTGATACACCAATGCCCTTCTCAAAAGAAGTCACTAATCAGACTATCACAATGTGGGAACTGCAAGCCATCCTGTTCCCGCTATGTGGATAGTTAAAGAAGAATTGCTGATAGCACCTGGGTCTTGAGTAAGCCAGGGAGTATTTGGGTGTGAGGTTGGGCTGGGAAGCAGCCTTGGAAGTGGTTGTTTATAGAATGGAATTCATAGTGACTGAAAACAGTCACTGGGAATGATATAGTTGCTGTTTGGCTTCATGGCTCGGACCCATATCTGTATGCTATATATTACCATGTGTGAATGAATGAAGTGGAACTAGTTGTGAAAGCTGTGTGTGTGTGTGTGTGTGTGTGTTTAGCCTCTTTCTTTAGAGACACCACATCACAATAATTGCACAGTTATGTCCTAAAAGCACAAGTGGGAACATTGCCAGTGCTTCAGAGACCACTGAAGATTCAGTGCTTTGCCAATGAATAGCTTGTCAAACTGCAGCTAATGTCTCATTAAAAATAAGTGTCTATACCCTTGCACCACATCAAATAAACCATGAAATATTAACTTCATGGTATATCCAGGTACTTCCTTTAAAAGCAAAGAAATAATAAACCCAAACAATGTTTTCTGGAGTAGGATCAATAGGACCCAGTCCTGAAAGAAGTGATGGGAATTTTCAGCCCAAATCTGTGGACTGAAAACAGTGTTGAAACAAAACCACAACCTGAACGCCTTGTTAAAAGCAGCCTTCTCCACTACACTGCTAAACCATTTGCTACTGTAAATCTAAAGAACTTCTTTTTTCACTGCCTCCAGCAGGAATTAAAGACCTACCCTTTCAACTGCTCTTTACACTTGCAAAAAGTTACAAAGGAGGGCAAGTCATAGTCACTTCAGAAGTAATGAGTTGAGGTTATTTTTGGATTACATTGATGTAAGAAGGCTTGGATATTTTTGTACCACTATAGACCTAAACTTCTCTCAGTTCCAGTTCTTAAGTATGTTGGTTCCAGCATTAAAACAGCAGCTGGTAACTTATCCACTTTCTCCATCGAGACCTGTACTGCAGTCCAGTGAATATGTTTGGATTATCTGGAGCAAGAAAATGGGGCTGGGAAAAGGTGTCACTTCAGAGGAGGAAAAGAAACTAAAAAGATTGGGGAAGAAGAAGAAAAGGGAAGAATCAGAGGAAACATGGAAAAAGAGCATCAGAAAATCACAGATGACTGAAAAGTAAGCGTAAGTGAACTCATTTGGCTCCAAGAATTGATTTCCACCCAAGGGTAGGAAACTTGGATGGAATGCCAGTATCCAAAAAACCTGTGTCCAAATTTCAGGAATGTTGGGCAAAATGGGGTTTTGGAATCACCTAAAAAAGAAATAAAAAATGCATTTTTTCATTATTATTACTACAGTTAGCCTTCTATTTTGGTACATACAAATAATGATTATTTCACGTCCAGTATTGAGAAATGACTCTGTATTTTTTACTAGCAAAATACCAGACAAGGTGATATGAGTTCTAATTTTCAACTAGTAAGAGAATTACAAGATCTGAAGACAAAATGAGAAGCTTGAGAATCCCGAGAAAAGGAAATTCTGTACAGAATTTTAATGATTAGAAAGCAGTCTGATGTATTCGTTCTGTGTTGCCATATTCAACACAAATCTAGCATAAGTAGTTACTTACCACATTCATATGTTACCATTAACAAAACCGGGGACAAGAGATTTGAATTATTCAAGTAAAAATTGTATAAATAGACACTTTAAGACATTGTTTTTTCATCTCTTTCTCTAGAGGTAACAATTCTATTTTATTCTACTCTTAAATAAACATTCAGTAGGAAAAGGAAAGAAACTATCTTTCAGAATAATCAGTGAAGTCAACCTAATGGAAGGAAAAGGAAGAGCTTTATTGCTTACACAGGAATTTTCCAGTGTGCTTTGTTAAATGCACTCTGAAAGATTTTAAAGCATTTTAGCTAATATGTGTGTCTTTGCAATTTTAAAGTGCCAGCCTGGTGAAAGAACCTCTAACTTAACTCCAGTAAGTACCTACTGCTTTCTTGTACCCATTTCCAATGAAGTTAAACGCTCCCTCTAGAACAAATCAGAGCACAGAACATGTCAAGACTTCCACTAAAAGCCTTGGAAACCTTAACAGAAAGCCTGTTATATTAGAGGGCTGTGTTGCTAACAAAGATGCTCTGTTCTTTTTTGTTCACAGACTAAAGATTCAGAGTAATATTAGGTTGTTTCCTAAAACCCACAATACGTAGCTAGTCATTATTACTCCTGCTGTACAACACTGATTATGATAAATACACAGAACTTATTTCAGTGGGTATGGAAGTTTGTAGGAATCCCACAGTTTCATTTCGCTCAAACGCATATCCTTTTCAAAACCATGTGATTTGTGGTTGAATCTACAATAGGATCCTTTTGTGGGTACTTGCACAGCAGAAAGAGATCCTCCTGCCAGTAATAGTTCTGCAGTTCAATATTTACACACAGCAGTATTGGTATAATGTAATGTTAACAGCTTGCTTTCTACCATCAAACAGTATAAAAGCTTATTCTTTAAAACTAGTGGATGAAAATCTGTCTGCAATTGTAGAAAGTAAAAGAGGTATGAACTGATCATTACAAATCAATGCAAAAAATTTCATCATATGTTTTCAAAGTCAAATAATATTTAATATTTGCCTTTGGCTGTCACAGGGAAAAGTTCCCAGCAAGATAATTTCTTATTGTGTCTTCTAAGAGGAGACACGGTTGCCTCATAAATGAAAGCTAAATATTGCTTAAGTACGTAGAGTGGCCAGCATCCACATTGTTGTAGCTTGGGATGGCACCAAGCTTGCTGGAGCTAATTTAAATCATCTGCTTATCACTTATCACTTAGAATCATAGAATCACAGAATGGTTTGGGTTGTAAGGGACCTTAAAGCTCATCCAGTTCCAACCCCCTGCCATGAGAGGGTAGTCTTCCACTATAACCATAGGATTATTACATAAATGGTGGATACTTTCCCTGGTAGTCAACATTAATGGCTGTTGATTGAACTTGCTTGGAACACAGGCTGCTTTATGTCGTAAGCTGGGCTTCAGCCACTGTGTTTCACCAATTATCAATCTTTACTTTGAGGAACTGCAGCGAGACGTGCAATATTAGCAGTAACACACACGTACATGCCCAATTCGCTCCTTAGCCTGCAGAGCTGATGATTTTTTAAGTATAGATGACATAGATGAGAAAGTAAATGAAGGACAGTACTGAGGCTGTCATAGTACAGCTTAGGTGAAAAGAAGCTTTCTCAGCCTACCTTGCAGAAAACAGTGAAGTTAGGAATACATTTTCTAGGCATCTAAAAGGTAACAGTCCTTGACACTTGTCCTATCCTTCCTCTTCCTGACTACTGGCAAAATGTACTTTTTACTACAGATTGGAAAAGATACAAATTAAACCTCGTATCTTCATTTGGCAGAAATCTATATCATGTTAGGCCAGACAGCAATAACTTCTTTATTTAAATAAGCACAGAAATTATGACTAAGTGTGATGAAGCATGAATTCCAGGGTTCAAGTTGGGAAACAAAGTTTTGTCACCGTGATCACAAGTACATGAAGTATTCAAATCTAATTTAACCCTGCCTTCAGTGTTATTCATGGGAGCTGGTCCTAAATCAGGATGTTTCTGCTCTCCTCTGACCTGTGTTATGTGTCCGACAAAGCATCATTCATGTGTCCTGATTAGCCATGGAATTAGAGCGCTGCTTCTACTTCTGCAGCTATTGACTGGACCGTTCAGCAACCAGTACGGTAAGACGTTGATGTGAGGATAAAGTAAATTGCTCCTTTTGCTGCAACGTGGGTGAATACATCCAATTTCACAACATCAAGGAATTTAAAGAGGATTGAAGTCCCTGGTGTTGTTTCCTAGTCCCAGGTTTAGAAATTTCTTTTGCAGTAGCTCACAGCTACAATTTAGAAAATGGTTTCATTCTCTTCCAGCAGAAAAACCTGTTTCTCCTCCTACGCCTAACTGACATGATTGGTGGCTGAGGTAGTCCACAAAACAGCAATAAAACGAGATTCCTGCTGGGAAACCCCTGGCACATTGTTCTTGAAGCTCTCTGGTACCACTGCCGTGAACACAGCCACCAGAACACACTGTTCATACGGTGCTGGGAATGCAGATCCCTACGCACCCAAGTGTGCCACTACAGAATCCAGTTCCTAAGGCTATGCAACACATGGCATGCTTAAAGCGGAGTCTAGTCTGAATCCATATTAATAAACTCTCTCGTCCAATTTTGCTGCTCCCAGGGCTATTTCTAATAGGATTGGGTTAGAACAAAATCAGGCTGAGTAGCTTCAATATTCTGCCTTATTACACAAAATCCAGATGAAATGGCTAGTAGTTTCAAAAAATCCATGTGAAACATGAACAAATGGTCCATTAGTGTTCCTGAGTACTAAACCATTAGGCCATATTTGAACTTCAGAGTGTTTGCTTTGCAACTTCTGTCCAATACAAGTGGTGGTTTTGTTTTGCACTACTCACGTTGTTTGTGCTCGTTCTTCCATTTACCTCGTATATTTGATTGTCCCACTTCATTATGTTCCTTTTTGGGTCAAGAGTAATTTGAAATGTGGCAAGTGGTGGCAAGTTTCTACTACATTGACAAGCAAAAGAAAAGGAGAAAAGTAATTACACAACACTGAATGCAATAAGGCCATTCTTGGCATGAAGTGTTACTTAGGATTATAGATAGTAGATGCCTGCTTTAAGTCATAGTCACCTATTAAATACTAAACAAGAATACTAATTATTGTAAATTTAGGCTTGAATTTATCACAGGTTTATTATGGGAACATGAATACTTTCACAACTGTAACCCCACAACAATATACGCAGTATATTAAGTACTAAAGCTAACACTGTTGCACGTCAATTGGCTCTTAGATAATACATATTGACTTGTTATATACATGAATTTAATTATTTAGACTTAACCAAAGTTCACTGAGCTGCTGATTATAGAAGTAACAGTGTAATTCTGGACCACAAGATGGCCCTAAGCACATACATTCAAGCCTAATAAATTTTCAGGCTCTATACTTGACATAATTTCATTAAATGGCAACTACTGAAATATGCTGATACAGTGATGTTTCAAAGAACTCTTTAAGTAGACACAATCATGAGCCAGTTGTAGGCACTTGTATAGTAACAAAACACAGACATTAACAATTTGCTATTATAAAAGTTTAAATATGATATCTAAGACAATTAAAATGTGCTTGGTTACATCACGCTGATTGAGGTTTGTAATTCCTTTGAGTTTTGTTCTCTGACGTTACTTTTGTCCATTTGAGTACCAATAGTTACTTAGGAAAGAAACCATCAGCAGTATATATGGAACAACAGACAAATCCACTGATGATGGGAAATTCCCAGATGCTGAATGCGTCTGTGTAGACATGTACACAATAAGTAAAACGTTCTCAGTCTTTAGCAAAATACTCCACCTCTTTGGAGTTACTTAAATGCTAAATCTACTACAGCCAAGAGCTGTGCACTGCATCTGGGTGTGCAATATGGATCAAACTCTCCAGTAAGACCGGCAGTGCTATTTATGCTATGATCAAGACACTTCTTTCCCTAGTCAATCCTTGTGAAGTTGTTGGTTAGGACTAGAACAAAGTCTGTCTTTTCATTGACATGTACTGATGTCGGAAACCTTGGCACCTGAAAATATTTGTCCTATGAAGACAAATAGAGGCAAAGATTGCTGCTATATCTGGGAAACAGGTTTTGTTGGTGCACATTAAATTTTGACGTGTCATACAAGATTAACTTTGCAGAATTAGAAAGCTAACCTGTAATAGACTAATAGTGTGTAATAGGCAAGATCGCCTCGATTGAACTAGTCTGTGCTGGCAGTGTTCCATGACTCCAAGTCTAACCAATTCAGAAAGCTAAAATACTTGACTGACATAAACTGGCAAAAGACAGCTTAAAGTTCAAGCTCTTGGCTGCTGCTCCCCTAGAAGAGAGCTCTGCCTGTACTTCAGTCTTGATTGCTCCATACGTCAATCACAGCACAAAGCAGTTACATCAGGGTAACTTTGTGAGTATGCATAGGGAATCTGGGTATGTGGGATGCAGAAGAGGAAGAGAAAATGAGGGATTTTCCCCATGGTGAGCTAGATTTAATTAGTGAAGCAGACATGAAGAAGAATAAGAGAAGCAGTAAAAGGTAAAAGAAAAAAATACTGACAGAAATACAGAAGATATAAGAGCTAGAATAGCCTTCCATTTCTATCTTTGAAGGAATAAGTCGCTTTTTAAAATATATTTTAATCTTTGAAGAAGAAAAATGTACTCAACTGTCATACCAGCTTTGATTTTAGTGATTGTTTTCCCAGCTATTTTTGCTTAGTCATAGAATCATGGAAAGGTTTGGGTTGGAAGGGACCTTAATACCATCCAGTTCCAACCCCCTGCCATGGGCAGGGACACCTTCCACTAGAGGAGGTTGCTCCAAGTCCTGTCCAACCTGGCCTTGAACACTGCCAGGGATGGGGCAGCCACAGCTTCTCTGGTTGGCTACAGATCTAATGAATGGGAAATCTTGTTCATGCAGACATGACTTACTGTGTGATCTGAATGGATGCAAACCCATGTCTGTTTTACGTCCTGTGACAAATCTGAGTGTAAATAACTCCAGAAATTAAAGTTGGCTTCTAAGCTGAACCTGATTTTCCATCAGAAATATGACAATATTGCCAAGCTTAGTCAACATCACTTGAATAATTCTTAAAACTTACAAAATTATTTCACATATATCTGTTAGGATGAGACCTTTGCCTCCTTTTAGGGCTCATTCGAAACTCCCTACATGGATTTACAAAGAACCAATGCTTTGCCTTCTCTGTTTTATGAAAAATCTGTTTCACTTTGAGGTAGAGCTAAATTTGAGCTATATAGTAAATCCTATTTAATATTTGCACAAGATATTATTATATGTTGGATGCATAATTCTTACTTTCTGAAATAGGGAAACAGTAGCAGGGTCATTGTAAAGAAATATAAACCCAGGTTTTCTGCTCTCAGATATTCCTTTTTATATACAAGGTAATAATAACCAGTGATTTTATGGATCATAGAATCACAGAATAGTTAGGGTTGGAAAGGACCTTAAGATCATCCAGTTCCACCCCCCTACTATGGGCAGGGACACCTCACACTAAACGATGGCACCCAAGGCTTCGTCCAACCTGGCCTTGAACACTGCCAGGGATGGAGCATTCACAACCTCCCTGGGCAACCCATTCCAGTGCCTCACCACCCTAATAGGAAAGAATTTCCTCCTTAGATCCAATCTAAACTTCCCCTGTTTCAGTTTGAACCCGTTACCCCTTGTCCTATCACTACAGTCCCTAATGAAGAGTCTCTCCCCAGCATCCCTATAGGCCCCCTTCAGATACTGGAAGGCTGCTATGAATACAGCAGTGGGGCATTAAATTAAGAAAAATCCTCAGTAAAGTTATAAAGGGTAAGAGCGAGAGTATTTGGTCCATACACAGAATACTTTTTCAAGTATTCTAGAGAAATTGTATAATATCTTAAAATTTTAGGTTTGGCTTTCTCTTCTGGGGAATCATTTAGATTCCAATGAATCCTGTTTTCATTAGTAATAACAGCAATTACTGGTAATAACTGTAATTTGGTAATATAGCAAAATAATGGCCATTTCTCACTGCTAAACAATATGGGTTTGAAGTATTTGTGTACTACAATGATTATAAACCTATCACATAATCATTCTCTGTGCATTCTGTAGATGTGGTTTTTACCATAGAAATTAAACCCCCAAAATATAGACTAGTTGTTTATGGAATGAGCTCTAGTAGTTAAGAAATGACTTATGCAGATTTAAGAGTTTCCCATGAGGTAGAATCATAGAATCATAGAATAGTTAGGGTTGGAAAGGACCTTAAGATCATCCAGTTCCAATCCCCCTGCCATGGCCAGGGACACCTCACACTAAACCATGGCACCCAAGGCCTCGTCCAACCTGGTCTTGAACACTGACAGGGATGGAGCATTCACAGCCTCCCTGGGCAACCCATTCCAGTGCCTCACCACCCTAACAGGAAAGAATTTCCTCTTTATATCCAACCTAAACTTCCCCTCTTTAAGTTTGAACCCATCGCCCCTTGTCCTATCACTACAGTCCCTAATGAAGAGTCCCTCCCCAGCATCCCTATAGGCCCCCTTCAGATACTGGAAGGCTGCTATGAGGTCTCCACGCAGCCTTCTCTTCTCCAGGCTGAACAGCCCCAACTTTCTCAGCCTGTCTTCATACAGGAGGTGCTCCAGTCCCTGATCATCCTCGTGGCCTCCTCTGGACTTGTTCCAACAGTTCCATGTCCTTTTTGTGTTGAGGACACCAGAACTGCACACAATGCTCCAGCTGAGGTCTCACAAGAGCAGAGTAGAGGGGCAGGATCACCTCCTTCGACCTGCTGGTCAAGCTGCTTTTGATGCAGCCCAGGATATGGTTGGCTTTCTGGGTACTCGTACATATACATAGAGATTTTCTCAGAAATGTATTATGGGCTTATATGTGTTCCAGATTTCTTAGTCTCTTCATTCCTTAACATTTTGGTTTAGGTTAAGTAGCCTAAAAGTGAATGACAGGCAGGGGAGGGCTATGGAACTACAACTTTTTGGAGAAAGAAAAAAACTGTGGCTTTTGTTCACTGACTTATATGAACCAGTTGCACCAGTTCACCTTAATGGAATAGTTTCTCATGGTTAATAATGTCACCTCAGAATCAATGAGACTGACTTGAGCAGCTGCCTCAATCTATACATAGCCTTCTGGTTTTCATTAGGCATTCAGGCACACAAAGGGGCCTGTCTGCACAGGATGAAGTCCTCAGGTTGTGCTTGTGTCCTTGGGTTGCCCGCGGCCATCAGTCTCACTTCCTCAGCAGGAATACAGCATCACTCTAACTCACAGGGACACCACTTTAAGTACATTAGTTGAGTATCATGGGGACACTGATACTGTCATTTCCCATTTGCTACCTCGTTCGGGTAAAAGGGCTGACTGTACACATATGCCACTTAAAGCCATGTGTAAGGTATACTCAGAGTGCAGCTCAATCAACTTCCACTGCATTCTGCTAACCCAGAGTTAGAAACTCTGAGAACCTTTACTTGAGAAAGGGGCTGGTTTTACTGTGCAGATGGAACCCAAGCTTGCGTGCGCTGACCCCTACAATGAAAACTTCAACCTCTCAACAGCTCCTAGGTTGAGAGGAACCACAAAATTCATCTTTTGAGAAAAGAAAAAAAAGAAAAAAGAAGAAGTGACACAATTTAAAATAAAAAGAATATTCCATTTTGAGATATTTTCAATGAGCGGGTACACTTAGGGGGATCTAAGTGCCTCTTCCATTTGAAATGTATTTTAATATCTCATATTGATGTGATTTTGTAAAAAATACACCAAAGTATTTCTGTTCATAGATTAGACACTAATTGAAAGTAAAAAAAAACCCCTGTACTTTGCCTCAAAAAATTTAAAACCAGAGAGAACATGACCACTATTTCAAGTGATCCAAGAATGAACAATGATAAAGTCCCAATACTAAACACCCTTTGTTTTCTATCAATGATAATAATAGCCTGTTTTGTGAAATTCAGTTTGAACTTCTTGAGTGAGCACGATGATAGGAGTTTTTCAGGATAATTTTGCTATGTCTCACTTTGGACATCTATGACGAATTTTGACATCCTGACCCAGCAGAAAGATCCCTGTTGGCTTTGATGGTGGTTAAATATGACTCGATCTTCTACTTTTTTGCAGTGATATGAAAAACAGAGGTTGTTTATGAGTATTCATCTGAATTCTGAAATAACTGAACAACTGCTATTGCTTCCCCTCCGGAAACCTGTGAATTCTCCAGCTAAGGTTGCATTCGTTAGGACCAAAGTGTTTTTCCCTCAACTTTTGAAACACTGCTGGTGACTCTTCACCTGTGCAGCCTGAGAACGCTTGATTTATGAATATTTATAGGTAAAACATTAAAAATCACATAGATGGAGATGGTGGAGTTGTCTAACAAACATTTTGGGCAGGACCTGTGATTTTTCTGTGGCTGACCAGCGCATGTAGTTACATAAGACTAAAAAAGTTAGACTTTCATGCAACCTTTTTAAGAATCCTTTATATGGAATAAAAGCCATCATAAGCCCATGAAACTCTATGGACTTTAGAAATTCTACAGCTACAAGACCTAAGAATTGGCCATACAATGTTATTTCTAGGAAGGGGTTTTGCCCTTAAGATCATAAAGAGTTACAAACTCCTAGGAAACAGAAAAAAAGCAGCTTCTGCAGTTTTAATTGTTACTATCATTCAGTTTTTTACCATGTGTCTTTGGCTGCAAGTTTGTTATTTTCCACAGCTTTCTGGTAGGATAAAGTTTATGTGCTTTAATGGAAAAATCAGCCTTTTTAAACTCAGTTTACCTGAGCTGCAAGAACTTGCCCCAGGGCAGGTAAGAAGCACACATACATCCTGCTGCATTGGCAAAGATCTGTAACCTCCAGAAAAGCCCTACCAGCTGTGCAGCTGTTTCTGCCTGTCAACATCTCTTTGTGGACTGAAAGTAGGTTGCAGGTGCCTCAAATAGAGACTAATCCTTGCGAGAGGAAAATACCGAGAGCACTAGAAGTCAACCTAAAAGGCGTGATAGTTGCCTCCATCCCAGTGGGATCAGTTCTTTCTCCTTTGCAGTCACACCTAAGAAAATTGATAGCATCAAGAGCACCTGCTCTGCCTGTACCACTACAGGGATGGGAGGAATAAGAAATGGGGTTGTTCCCAGGGTCGTTGTGGTTTGCTCTGAGCATCTGCTGCAGCACAGTGACTCCGCATGGCTCCTGCGGCAGGGTTGTAGCTTAATGCCACAATGCAGCTTGAAATCTGTTCCTCGCCAATTACCCCTATAACTCACAATGGGTTTGAAAGTCAAAGCAAGTTTTGCTCAGCAGCCAGCTGCAAGCTGGGTCGAGTTTTGATAAAAATCAATTTGAAGCATTTATGCTTCATAAATCACCATTGGCTGATATATTCTGGAGAATCAGAGCAGTGCAAGCAGAGAGCTGCAGCAGGACAGATTTTGTTTAGCTTTAAGTTTATAACTAGCTTTGTTTCTTAGCTCTGCTGATAACAGTTGAATGATTCCAAACACTAATACAAACTGAGAAAATCCCCTCTTCTGCAGCACCACAATAGCAAAGGTACTGTAGCAAAGCCAGAGGCTCAAGGATCCACAGGCTAAGACAACATAATTGAAGAGATATATATGATTCCAGGGCAAAAAAGTAAAGGAGAAAGATGTGTTGAGTGGTAACTGTTTCCTTTAAGCACTGTATACATGGCATCTAGATGCTCAAGCAGAGCAGACATAGTTTACCCACTTCTGTCATCTGCCTCCTCCACAGTTTGTGTGGAACTGATAACGGCAGCACAAACTGCTAGCATTATCCAACAGTCCTGAAGGTCCTTGTTTCATGACTGGCTTGATTCATACAAATTATGAGGCTTTTTCTGTAAGGAAGGACTATTCATGAAGACAAAGGTTTTTCTTGTGTGCCTTTATCAACAATGTAGACACACATTCAGCCATAGGGTCACAAACTAGAGGAAGCACAAATATTTGACCATAGAAGACAAACCAACTGAGTGTCCTACAAGGAAAGGGACATGTCCTTTACCACCACCAGCTTAATGTGGAGACTTCACGATTTAGCTTTGCTTCCTGAAATAGAATCACATTTTTTTTAAATCCAGAATATAAACAGTTTAGACCAAGCTCTGTCCTAAAAATTGGTGAAATAAGGCATACAAGGAAGAAAGATCTCACTAACAATTTAAGTGCTTTCTCCCCAATGCCAGTTATAGACTTGTGTGCTCTGGGCTTCAGTCACCTTCCTTGCAACAAATCTAGCACTGGTGTAGTTACCTATAGGTGAAGTTAGTGTATAAGTTTCTGCCTCTTCTTCCACGAACAATGGTGAATAAAAGATTTACTCCATGGTGGCTAATTCAGAGTTCAAAGCTTCCATTTGATGCAAAGTGCATATACTAAGCAGATAGGTTTAATAAAGCGTCTCTGGCATTAATTCTCTAGCAATTATCATGTAGTAAAGTGAAATTGGATCCCTCCTGCATTAGTGGTGGCTTTGTAACTATGTGCAGTATTAATAGCTAGGAACACTTTCCTGAAGGACATGCTTTCAAAGGCCGCAAGAAAGCAGATAATTAAATACATTTAACTGTGAATTAGTTTGCTGCATTTCATGGCTTAAGGCTGAAGCTCTCTTACAATAAAGATGCTCAGGATTCAATCCCTCCATGCAGAGAAGAAGTTTAATGAACTCTGCTAAAGCAATACAAGGATTAGGGCTGCTCAGAGCTTGCCACTGCAGGAGTGAAGCAAGGCTAAGGTTTTGCTGCCTTTCTCCCATGCCAGCAATTTACAGCCCCACATAGCTACCTCCTCTGCCTGTTTATTGAGCTAAACTCAGCACTGGGAATGAACAGACACTGAACTAACCACACGTTTAGGCTATAATATCCCATAATAGGTAGAATGTGACCGAGTGAAGCAGGAGTGTCAAGCGGATTTATTTGCATTAGCAGTAAGCTTCAAGTGGCACGAATGTCTAAATGGGTGGGTAGCCTGTTACACACATACTGCAGAAAGTACCCAAACATTCCAAGTCCTTCACACAAAGATTAAATATGCCCACCTCGGTGTCAGCACGGGTGGTCTATAATTGCCCATTGCTCAACCAGCCATCTCTTTATGAACAGCTAATGCCAGCTGTGCCTATGGTGGTCCTGCCTCTCCCCGACACCGCCGATATTTTTTTAGCTCCATCTTTTCGGGAGCGAAGCGATAAACACCGAGACGCCAGCCCGGCTCCTCACCGGAGCTGTACGGTACCCACGAGGTCCGGACGTCCATCCCTTCCCACTGATGGGCAATGGGTTCGTTTCTTTGCAGCGGAGGGCAGGGATCGGTGTATTAAATAGGCCATGAAAAAGCGCTTTTTCAGGCGGGGGCACCAGCCCAGGCTCCCCGCTCCAGAGGGCTGCCCGGGTCGGCGGGACCCAGGCGGAGCGCCGCATGGATGCCCCGGGGAGCGGGGGGGGGCCGGGCGGCAGCGGCTCGACAGCGCGGCAGGGGCGGGGAGAGGAGGGAAGGAGGGGAAAGGAAAGGAAATCCCCAGGATCCCCCGTCCCCCGCGCGGGGAGACACCGCGTTACTCACCGGGACCCTCCCCCGTGCCGCGGCCGCGTCAGCCCGGCGGCCGCGCCGCCTCCGTGAGGCTGAAGAGGGATGGGGGGGCCCGGGCTGCTTCTCCCGGGGCTCCGCACGGCTCCGGGCAGCGGGGCGGGCTGCGGACGGGCGGCGTGAAGCGGCTGGAGCGGCCCCGCGTGCCCCCGCCCCGAGCGGGGAATGAGAGGCGGCCCCGCGGGGCTGCCCGCCGGGACGCACCATGCGGGAGCTGGCGATCGAGATCGGCATTCGTGCCCTGCTCTTCGGGGTCTTCGTGTGAGTACCAGCGGGGACATGGGGTGGAGGGAGCGGCGGCTCCAGCCGGAGCGGTACCAGCGGGAGCCTCCGAGGATGCCTCAACTTTAGGCACCCGACTCCTTCCTCGCACCCGGTCGCGGTGTCGGATCGCCGGGCCGGGGAAGTGTGGGTGGGGATGGGGGGTTGGCCGGTCCCCGGCGGTAATGGCCCCGTATCCCTAACGGAGAGACCCCTCCGGCAGCGGCCCCTTCGGGTGCCATGGCGGGGGGTAGAGATGACGCCTTTCGGGTGCGGGAATCTTTTCCCTGGGGAATCATTGTGGGAGCAGCGGGGAGAACTCCCCGACCTTAGATTTTGCAGGAGACTCGAGGGCAATTTTTGTCGGAGAAACCGCTGTTTGTGGGAGAAGTGTGCAAAAAGCATCCAACCGAAAGGGCACGCCAAGCCTGCTGCTTGGTTTCGTTTGGACCGGGGTAGTTTTGTGCTGTACGGTCTCATTTGCTAAGGCTGTTGATGCTCCTCGGCAGCGGGAGCCCGCAGTGAGCCGGGGCAGGCACCCTTTGTGCGGGAGAACCTCCGTGCTGCGAGCCGGGGAAGTATCTGGGACTGAACGGGAGATGCGGAGGATCTCCGCTGGGTTTGAGAAGCAGATCCGTACCCTGGCATGTAGGAAGGAAAGTCAAGGGAATCTGGTTGCTGAAAGACGAGCTGCGCGAACACTTTCTGTTTGCCTTTTTTAGGAGAAAGCAGCTATGTATTGTTTTGCTGTGTGTATTTCAGGCAGGCTTCCTCTTTCTTTTCAGGGCTGTACCTGCTTCTTCTTTCTGGCAGTTTATGTTTGAACAATGAGAAGTTCCACTCTTCCTATAAGTTTGTATTTCAGCTACTAATGCTTGAGTAATCTCAGTCTTTGTGATCCCTCAGACGTATTGCAGAAACCAGATCAGGTTCTGCTCCCGTTTGGTTGCTCACCGATAGATGCTGTCGGTCGCAGGTGCAGGCAGGAATGGTATGGGGCATCCATTAGCTGTGACACTGACTTACAGCAGGTGATATTGGAATGCTTTGGTGCGATTCCTTTCTGAATCTCTCATGGTTATTAAGTTGCCCAATTTACTGGTGTTTGAGTTTTTCCTCAGTGTTCATCTCGCTTGAATATTGATGGAAGTCTTTTGATTTGTAACATATTTGGTAAGTGTAACCCGCTTCATTTTGGGATAAACTTTGATACCCTCAACAAGCTGTAAGGTACATTTTATACCTTTCAGTTCAGTTGCATCTTACTTTGGAAACAGACCTGTTCCTCTCAACAGAACTTGAATATGTGAAATTACAGGGTGAGCAAAGACCTCAGAATCTGATGTTGCATCAGAACCTTGCTCTTTATGATAAACTCATGTATAATTCATCACTTACACCATCTAGTAAGAGGGGTCTTCATGTGGATTATTACCATGATATGTAAATAATGACCCTTTATAAGCAGTAAGTTGTTGGTTATGCTTAATGTCTTAATTTTCTCTCCAAATAGTTCTGTAATTATCACTGTTCTGCATTCTGTGGTTCTAAAATCAACAGGGAAGAAAAGCTTTTGGTAGAGTCACCATGATGGCAAATGCCTCTGCAAGCACTTTTCATGTTTTCACATAACTCAGCTCCTGCCTTTTGGAATTCTGGGGGATAATTCTGACATTGCAATAAGTCATTTAAAGAATTAATTGCTGTCTAAAAGTACTGAACACCGTAGTATTCTAAATTCAGGTTGGGATTTAGTTTCAGGAAGAATTGCACTTCATTTGCCTGTAATGGTTGCAAGAATATAATCTCTAGGTAGGCTTAAAGAATAGCTTTTATATTCAGATAATCTTAACATCAATCTTTTGCCATTGAAATAGTATTCAACATTTCTCTCAGTTTTTCTAAAGAGGCAGTAACTCATGTTTTGAAACTTATGTTAGAGGTTTAAATACTGTCTTTTGTGTGGTTTTGTAGGCACCCAGGGCAAGGATTTCTATGGAGTGTTAATTGAAATATCTTTTCAATAATGAACAATTGCTGTTGAATTTGGAAGCCCTGGGACTGAAATCCAGGCAGCAGCAATGTAATCTCTATAGCTCTATTGCAGAACCTATTTCTAGGAGTGAAAAGGCTGTAAAGTTTCCACCTCCCTTGAAAAGGAATGTTATTAACAGCAATGAGTTGGGGCTAGGTCTAAGATCATCTCTGTTGTGAATGCCAGCTGAGAGGTAGGTGTTTGTCCACCAGGAGCTGTACTGAAAAGGTGGTGTTGACTTTGGGTCACTACTAACCTTTGTAGTGTTAAAAGCCTGACCTTGAAGATAATGGATCCAGATGTATTTGCCAATCCTGAGCCATCTGTGCCTCCCAGATGTCTTTTTAGCTTTGACCTACTGATTAATACAACTCAGAATAATATACTGGCATATTTTGTACCCTAAAATGCAAGAGTAAAAAGGGTGCATATTCCATGTTGTAGTTTTGCTTGGTGCTGGATGCCATTTCATAAAAATGGAGGTGTGATGACAGCTGAAATTAAAGGTATTGCCACTTTGAATGTATTTTACCTCAACAACAGCCATATTGTTTATACTTAAGAATGGCAACCTTTTGTTTTCCTATAATTATCTTTGCTATAATTAGTTGCTATAATTACCAATTTTAGTCATTCCACCAAAAGCAAAAATCTACAATTATTATTTAAGATCTCTTCTATCATGCAAACATACACCATTATAAGTAACACACATTTTGGATGGTTGATCGTTGGTTTGGATGAATTCAACAGACATTCAGGGAGGATAAAGATAACAACTGACTCTAGATGTTCTAGATGATGTGTTCTTAAGAACTGCTAAATGTTTACTTCCCAATTAAAGACCAGTTTAGCTATTCAGCAACTCAAGCTTCTGTGCATTTACAAACATCTGTGCTGAAGGGCACTTTAGTTTTCAGGATATAGTAGTATTGAAAGAGGGATCAGTTGGGAGCGATTTATTAGAAGAACTACAGCTGCCCCTGAAAGTCAGAGGCAGGAGTTAAAAAAAAACCAAACCAGCAAATAACAGCCAAAAGATAATTGCAACAGGTTGCCCTCAAAACCACACTTAATGCAGACTTTAGTGGGAAGAGAAATAGATATTCTTTGAGTACTTCAGCACAATAGCTCTCAAGGCACAAGTTACAAACTGTAAAGAAGATAGAGATATTTCTGTTTTGCTCCTACAGTTTTTCCCAGTTCATTAACATTAACAAGTTCCTTTTTAGTTATCGTTTGGAATTTAGAAACATGGTATTTCCTGTGCTAGCTGAAGCTCAAATACTCATTCTACTCATAGCCTCATTTATAGCTGTGCCACTGCTAAGTTTTGGTTTTGGTATCAATCCTGAAGGCACTGAATAGCCTACCGAAACCTGAACCTTGGGACAAGCATGTAGAGGTCTGGTAGAGTTGAGGATAGTAAAAACAGCTCTTGAAGTTCCAGCTTGCCACTTGGCAAGGAATGATAACCAACTACCTACCTTTAGCCTTACACCTTTTGACTGGGCTGAAGTGATCCTAATGAGCGTAGATGGTTTGCTGCCCACTAGGCAAAGAAAATTCTCATCCTATAGTTTGACCTTACAGTCTGACTACATTGTCAAATATATTTTTGTTTGCTTAATTTTTACTTATTAAGAAGTATCTATGAGTACAGAATTGGATTTTTTTAAAGTGAAGTTTTTCATGTAAGGTCTCGGAAGTAGAAATGGTCTATTGTTTAGTAAGCCAACTGTGGGCATGTACTCTGTTTATAGGAAAAAAATCAAACACTACTTTGAAGAATGATTGACTTAAGGTCTTGCATCTGTTTTGTACTTATTCCTATCACCAGGAGCATTCTAAGATGCCCAATTAATCCTAAAACATGTTAAACATGGCCAGTCTTTCATCTGGTCCATGTGGACAGTGGCATTTGTCACTAACTGAATGCTTGATGAGACGCAAATTGCTGCGGGTGACTTGGTTTTATACAGTTAAGACAATTCTTTTGTGAGCAAGTCTGGTATTTTTACACAAGAGTGATGCCCTTAAAACAGTGTTCTTCATCTGTCCTAGAAACAATTCATTGAGTGGTAGCTCTGAGTGAGCCTGTAATTACCAACAGGGATGTCTTAGTTTCTTACCTTAAAAGGAACACGTATTTTGTTATCTCCTACAAGGAAAACATTATCATCTGTTTCAGAAGTTTTAGAAGAGCACTTTGTTTTCTTGGTAGGAAAACAGAAGAATTTGCATGTGTTGTATATTTAGCCCAATGACTTGTCAACAGCCTATCCTTGATGTTTCTAGAGCTGGCTTAATTGATTAAAAAGACAGTCTTTCAAGGATAACTTCAGCAAACCTGGAGTTCTTCAGTGAGTGTGATGTGATTCAAATATAAATGTCATTCAGAGTAATTGGCAGAGTCTCATTAGCAGCCTCCCTTGGGAATAAATGTTTATCTGCAGGCTATATACATATTACACACGTGTGAGTGCACAATATTGACTAATGCTTGCATCTTGTGTGTGCCCTATTCGCACTCTGCTTTAAGTGACTAAAAGCTGAATCTGTGCATATTTGGTTTCTAACAAGTTTACAATGTTAAGACTTTAATCCAGTTATGAATATGCATGAAATGACTTAGCGTGAAAAGCTCTTTCAAGTAGTCATGGGTGGTGATCTTCTGGATATCCTACATATGTTGCCTTCATAAAGGATAGTATAAATTATAGTCTTGTTAACACAGACAGAACATCAATTAGCTGAGGAAATTCCACAATGCTGCTTTACTTTTCTCACAGTTTGCACTTGCCTTTTCTCTGTTGCATCTGTTGGATTTTTGGAGGATAGACCGAGCTGAGAGTCATGAGCAGTCAGAGATGTGTAGGTAATAGAAACAAAATGGTATTGAGAAGAAGAAATCACCAGTCTGAGACACTAAGATTTATTTTCTCGTGCTGACAAAAGTGCTTCC